ACGTTCCCTTTGTCGCCTTGCCAGCTTTAATAAGGAAAAACGGAAAAAGGGGAAACGGTCCGAGATTAATTACCGGCAACCGACTTTTTACCTTCGTAATTGGCGTGGCCGCACCCGCTGTTTTAACGGCGCCGCGTGCAAAATCACAAGTCTTCGAAATTAATTAAAGTAGAAGACCGTTCGCGTGAGTTGTAATTGATAATAAACAGAAATTGATAATTTTCTTCGGACACTTTTGACCAAAAATAGCTATAAAAAATATTAATTTTGTTGTTCGTACTACTTATATGTACATATATTTTATTTTTAATTTCTAGCTTTGATATATTTTTAACTAACTATAATATTTATTTCACTAATTAAATGTGCAATTAAGAGTAAAAAATTATAATATCCACCACGTACGAGAAATTATAAGAAATATTCTTGGCATATATAAAACTTGTGGCGTCTCTATTAAAGTATAATACATTTTCTACATTCCCGTGTCACTGTTCTTTTATATTACGTAATAATAGCACGTGAACGTTAAATGTGTGGTGGTAATCAAAGTGACCTCGGCGACCACGAGTCTAGACATTCATTATTGATGAGCCACCACATGGAAAGTGACTGTTAATGTAGTAACCCAAATTTATGCAATATCGTTATTATATTAATCGTATAAATCGTGGGACTACGATTGAATAATTACGAATCGCCGGAACAAAATATAAGAATGAAAATAATTTCAATAAAATAATTTCAGTTGATAATGAATGGAAATGTAGTTCGTTATTGGCGATGAATAATTTTTTAATCCGATAAGTAGCCGATTTTACTTTCATCGAATTGTCAATAAATTGTTCCATTCTTCCGCAACAAATAGCATCGAACGGGAAACGAATTTCTTCCTTCGTCATAATGAATAAGCCGTAACGAACAATTACGCGAAAATAATTTCTTAAATTATGGAGAGAAAATTCCAATTAAATGGAAGTCCTGCAGTAGTAGCTCAATAAAGATATTGCGTTAGAAGTGCGGTAATTGATTAGCACCGTCTTTGGGTCCTAAAACTTTGCATTCATTGAGCCGAAAGCTACCCTCGCATTGATTAAAACAGCAGTCGAATTCACTACGCGACATCGTAAATTCGCTCCCGCCTCGAATGCAAATATCATATAAACTCGCAATAGTTTTCGGAGCATATATTAGTGCATTATTCAATAAACGTATGCTATAAATTATACATAAATTATACATTGAATTAATATATTACTTATATGGCATTATCAAATTATATGCTCAATGCTCAATTTCTATTTAAAGAGAACATCTTTTTAACTTTTCAGATAAAATATGTTTTCAGAGATCTCTCCTTTCATAACGCTAGTACTAACTATCCAATTTCATTTCGGTAATGCAAAAGCTCGCACAATTACAGTTTTGAAACACTGGTTTACTCCGTTTTCGCATTTCTTCGTTTCTCTCTCTCTCT